ACGACTCTCTCTCTCTCTCTCTCTCTCTCTCTCCTCCTCTCTCTCTCTCTCTCTCTCTCTCTCCCCCACACACAAGTTAACTTTTCTTTTCATTCACTAAAACAAAATCATCCTTACAATGCAGTTGACACTGCATCCGTTTCTATCACCAATTCTCTAACCTCCTATCCTTGTCTTTCTAAAAAAGACTTCCCTTACCCAAAAAAAAAAGAACCTATCTTCCTAAAAGATTGGCTTGCTAAGAAAAAAACAGCCTCTTACTTATCCTACCCATGTTAACCATAGCTCTTCTCTTTCCATAACCTTCTATAGAATTATCTAAAAAGATAACTACTAGTATCTAAACCACTATTTCCTATCCTTAAAATAACTCATGAAATATATCTAAGAAAGGATGACCCATGTAGTCCATGTTCCTATCTAAAGGTCAACCTCCTATTTTTTTAAAAACAACTCTTCTAAAATGGTCTCCAAACAAAAAAAATGTACTTGTCATTCTAAAAGATCTCCTTATCAAAAACAAAAGACAAGCTTCCTTTCTAAAAAACACATAACATAACCTTGACTCTTAAAGTAAATATAATTCCTAAGAATTAACCCAAAAATCTACCTACATCTCTAAAGAATAAAAATATAAAAATAAAATTTGATTTCGAATTAACGTGTCTTTTATCTGCATCATTCTTCCTTGGTTGGAGAAAACCCATCCTCGAGTTTTGAAATAAGTTAAGATGAATTTTGCGTTAGTCCAGCAACATTTTTCAACCCAAATATTGAAAATATGATCCTAGGACTTGTGGTTTATTTCACTAGTCAAAACACAGTATGTGCATTGAAACTGAGAAATCCTCAAGGAAGTAAGTATCAAAAATTGACGATAGATCCCAATCAACCTTGATCTCCTTCAAAATCAACCTTGATCTCCTTCAAATGAAGTAGATCAATTGTAATATTAAAATCCCATGATCCACTCTCTCGAGCATGAGGCTCCCGACGAAGGCAACTTCTGATTCACTATCGTCATCATAGTGTGTCAGGGCTGGGGTTTTGCACTAAGTATTGAGTCAACTCCTCAACTTACCTTCTCAAGAATTCTATCTCAATGTCTTAGGGGTCTCGTTCTCACTGGATGGGCTCATTCCCAGTAACCGGCTGTCGAGCACTTCCACCAGCCATGATACCTTATCAACGAACACCGCAATCCCACAATAACTAATGGTTTGATACCAACATAGCTGAAAAATCACCGGCAACCAACAATCGACAAATACAACTGTGTTTTAGAGAGAAAAAAATTTGAGAAGAGAATATGCAAAAAAAGACACAAACGTGGGGATCCGAGACCTTCACCACGCACTATCAACAAGAGAAGATGACAAGAAGAATAAAGAGCCAAGCTTTCTCTCTGTCTCTCTCTCTCCACAAGTTAAATTTTCTTTTCATTCACTAATACAAAATCATCCTTACAATGCAGTTGACACTTCATCCCTTTTTATCAATGTTTCTCTAACCTCCTATCCTTGTCTTTCTAAAAGGAACTTAACTTACCAAAAAAATGAACTTATATTCCTAAAAGATTGGCTAGCTTAAAAGAACAGCCTCTTACTCCTTCCATAACCTTCTATCATCTAAACCACTATTTCCTATTCTTAAGATAATTCATAAAAGATATCTTAGAAAGGATAGTCCATGTAATCCACGTTCCTATCTAAAGATTAATGTCCTAAAAAACAATTCTAAACTGGACTCGAACAAAAAAAATATACTTATCGTTCTAAAAGATCTCCCTAACAAAAACAAAAGACACCTTGTAAAAAACAAAAGACAAGCTTCTTTTCAGAAAAACAAATAACATAACCTTGACTCCTAAAACAAATATAATTCCTAAGAATTAACCCAAAAATCTACCCATATCTGAAGAAAATTAATTAAAAAAAAAAATTAGATCTTGAATTAACCCGTTTCTTATTTGCATCACACATACATACACACAAGAAATGCAAATGTCAACATAGAATGAACATAAACATAGAGACACATAACTCACTATATCAGCTTTAGAATCGATTTAACATGCCATGTACCTTGCTTTTGAGATGTACAACTCACATTGCCACTATTTAAACCCTGCTCATCTCAATGGAGCATTGATTGGTTGGTTTTGGGTCTCTTATATCTTTGTGTTCTGTATGTATGGGTGTGTTTATATATACATATATATATATAGCTCTAAACAATCAAAGTAAAGCCCACCTTCAAATAGTGTCGAGAAATGTGGTTTTAATACTAGAAATCTTTGTGATAGATTTAAAATATATTTTCATCTTTAATTATAAAATTGAAAGCTTCAAAAATAGTGTAGGTCGAGTAGATCAATGAAAACTTGAAAATTAACGGTCCAAAAAAGATGCACTATTTCAAACACTTGAAATCCATTTTTTTCTCATGTCCTAGCATCTTGATGTTGAGATGATCAATGATCAATTTGAAGATACTTGGGTATCAAAACAACCTCTTCTAATGAAATTTTTGAGGTGGACTCTAATTTGATTGTTTAGAGCCTCAGCTCTATATAAACTCTTTTCTATACATATATATATATATATATATATATATATATATATATATATACCCTAAATGTACACATGCGCAGACACACGCATCCACACACACACACACACACAAACACATTATTTTAAAAAGTATCTAAGCTTCAAGAACAAGTGGTGACAAGTTCTCACATAGTCAAAACCAATGGTTTAAAAAGCGGATCAGTGACCCGGATCGGGCATCTCAAAAACCGATCCGGATCGGCAAATCGGCGATCCAGATAGGGAATCGACTGAATCGGTCGGATTAAAGCTTCAAAAAAATCCGAAAAAATGATTAAAATTCATTATAAATGTTGTTTTTTAGGAATCCAATAAGAAATGAGGGTACTACATTATTAACTTTCATTTTTCTCATCAATTTGTATATATTGAGATGCTCTTTCCCTGTATAAACTTAAATATTAAATTTGCATCACATAAAAAAAAAATCATAGAATTATCATGGATAAAATATATAATTATACATGGACTATTATAAAGTGTAGACTAATCAATGAAAGAATGGCCATTAAAATCTCGTTTAGGCGAAAAACTCTAATCCGCTAAAAAAACCCAAATTATTGCAGCCTAACTAACTATAATCCAAAATTATTACAACCTAACTAATTATAATATTATATACTGAAATTATAATTATTAGTTTACATTTTATAATTATTTTATTAGACAAATAATAACAAATTAAAAATATTTTAGAATATTATCTAATTGAAAAGTGATTAAAAAATTATTAGAAGAGGCTTCCATATCATATGACTAAAATTAAAAATAAAACCACCAATAAATTCTAATGTAATTATATTAAAAAATTCAAAATAACTTTATCCTATCGGCAATATGCACAATAGCTACAAAAAAATAAAATAAAAAATAAAATATTGTAATAAAACCCATCAAAAAAACTAGTTTACTAATAAACATTAAAAAAATTTATATGGCTATTTTTTAATTTGACACACTAAATTAATGAGTGCTATTAATTTATTTTTAAATTTTATATAGCTGTTTATTAGTGCTATTAATTTGACACGCGAAATTAAAACACTACACATATGGACAATGGCTTGCAATAGTTAATGGCTTGCAATAGTTAATGGCCGTTTATTAGGTAATGGCTTGTGTGACGATGGCTTGCATGTTGTTGAAGGCAAGTGGGAATTGTCCCACATCGGAAATATCAAGCGACTTCCAAGTTTATAAAAGATGTGAGGATGAGCTCTTCAACAACGTTCGGGCGAATGGTACATGGGGTAATGTGGTGCTGCCGTCCAACATGTCGAAAATTACCTTTATTTTTAAGACAAATATCCCAATTACCCTTGGAAACGTCATACATGCCGAGACATGACGTCACCATCCGATTCTATACAGTGATTTGGCCGGAATCGCCGATTCTCTTCTAGAAGCAGGCGATGTACAAAAATATTGGGCCAACCTTGCACCTGCGCACGTGTGAGTGCGCACAGACAAACGAGAGCATGTGCGTAAACCGGCTGAACCGGATGGGAACCGGCAGTTCTACTCTAGAACCGGGCGGTTCCCGGTTTTATGATGGAACCCGCACGAGCTGTGCCGGTTCCTGAGTCGAACCGGGTGAATCCGGTTCGACTCGCCGAGTTTTAAAACACTGGTCAAAACCAACGTTTAAAAAAAACAGATCGGCGTCCCGGATCGGTCACCCTAAAAACCTTGTCCGATCGGTGGATCGGTGATTCGGATAAGAGAATCTGCCGGATTGGCTGGTAACTATAATTTCTAAAAAATCTAGTGTTATAGGTTTCTAAAAGAAATAGTGGCAATTGCATTATGGTTTCTCATTATTATGTCAAAAATATGTAAATACCGAGAACCTCTCATGTCGAGTGTTTACTGTCTATTAAATTCATTTTATAGTCAAAATAAAGTTTAAAATGCAACATGACAATAAAATGAATCTTTTTAATCTTCTTTTTTTTTTGTATTAACTTAGGAGTTTTGAGTTTTGAAATAAGCTACATGGAAAAAATGTAGTGGTGTTAGTAGAGAGAGGTAGAAAGGGCGAGAGACACGAAGTTGGTGGGGGGGGGGGGGGGAGGGAGGAGAGAGAGAGAGAGAGGGAGAGATGAGAGAGAGGTTGTTAGCAGAGAAAGAGAGAATAACAGCGAAGAAAACTCTTACACCATGGAAGATTAGAGTGAAGCAGTATTCGTGCTTATAAAGTTGTGTCTTTAATGAGGTGGAACTTAATTGTCCCACATTGAAGGTTGTATGTAGCAAATGAGTATTTAAAATGGCTCACATATGGCATGTTGGTTGGATGGTGCAAGCAATGCACACTCATTAATGTGTGAAATGTATGACTAGTTGATGGGGCTCAAGTTAAGGTAACATTTTGAGATTAAAAATACATTGTCGACGGCTGCCCCTTGTTTTAATTTCTTTTTTTCAAAAGTGCCCTGAATTTTTTTTTTCAAAAAATGCACTTTTTTCATTCAAACCCGATCGAAACAGAACCTGTTGGTTTTGGTCAGACAAAATCGGACGGTTTCTATCAAAGATCTGGCCGGTTTAGGGAGAGACCCGGCTGGTACCCGATATATGACGAGAACAAGACCGGCTTAGACGATACCCCATCCAGATTGCCGAATTTTCAAACCTTGGTCAAAACTAAGCTCCGAACATCTAAAAAACCTTCCAACCACTATACAAAGAGTGCCCACACATCACACACACACACAAATGCATATAAACACATTATTTCAAAAGGCTTCAAGGCTTCAAAAACAACAAGTGGTGACAAGTTCTCGTATTGTCAAAACTAGCTCTGAACGTACTTCTAAATCAACTTTCAATCTCCGTAGGATCAATATTTTCTTGAAGAGGAAAGTATCCCATATAAATATAGGACCAGCAGAAAATTAAGTCCCAAATTCTTATTGCAACAGGGTCCCCAACATGTCAATGAACTCCACTTATTACCTTCTTTGACTCTTACCCTTCTTTTCCTCTTTGTCTATCCACAAATAATCCCGGACTAGACTCTTTCAAAGGCGAGATGATTGGCTATGGATAGAGGCTTCCCTACCTCAAAGTCGAGATGATTAGCTATGGAGGGTTGGCTCCCTTGTCCTGCATACCTTCTCTCACCCGTGATCTCTCATCAGTAATAAAAAAGGAACTTTCTCACGGTGTCTTTCCATAAAGGGAAAAATTGGATAAACTGGTTGCCCAATGCTTCCATCTCACTTCTCAAATCTGCTCCCAATGGACAGCAGTGGCACATACACAGAGAGAAAGAAGGTACGTACATGTTCTTTCCCGCATCAAAAAAAGGGATGTAGTTCAGTAAGTAATGAGAAATTGTAGTAGCTAGTCAAACGTTCAAAACTATGGAATTTTCCTAGTTTCATTGGACCATTTCGCTTCTTAGTGTCCTGCCCCGAGCTACAATTGGCAATCTAGGATTATAGAATTTTTCTGGAACAATGCAACATATTGATGCCATTTGTTTGTTGGTTTTGACTGTTAATGTCATCAAAGCATGTGGCAAGGAAGATAGGAGTTTACTATATAAGCTCATCACATCTTCTTTTAGCAGCCTGGTTACCCAAAAATGAAAATGAGACCACAGTTATCAGAAAAAGAGGTTATAGAACATCGATTTACAATGAAAACATAAAAACAATGCAAATGATGGACAAATATAGGTTTTTAGACCTAATAATCATTTTTTTTTGAAATTATTCATCTGGTGAAACAAAGGTATATTGCAAATTTTAAAATGATAAACATAGTTGCCGCAATCGGGAGAGGGAACAGTACCAAGATCGGGATCGGGAGAGAGGGAACTTGAAATGCTAAAAGATCCCTATGGTTGGGAAAGCTGTCCATACAATGCACATGTTAGGGATCGAGATCCCCAAATATTAGGTGTCGAGATTCCAACCTTTTGGGATCTTGATCCCAATTTTTTTGGGGATCTTGCTACCAACCTTAAACTAAGTGATAATCTAGGATTATGTGCACTATTTAAAGTTGGATCGAGATCCTTACTTTAGAAGTATAGCAGGCAAGCAATGCAACTATATTCGAAGTATAATTGTGCTGCTAACTGGCTATACACAAAGAAAATCATCAATTTGGTTGTTGTCTTGGTCTTTAGCATTGGGATCGATATCCCTAACAGCAGGAATCAAGATCCCTATCACTGAGGATCAAGATCCCAAAATTTAAAAATCAAGATCACTGAGAGATCTGTTCTAGGAGTGACAAAATTGAGATCCTACCAAAGTAGGATATCCAGGTAACTATGATGAAAAAACTCCTCCTAGGTGGGACTTTCGCCAACTGAAGTGTACAATCTACACCCATGGGATCATGCTATACACACGAGAGTGCACACAACCAAGCAAACACATGCACACGTGCATACACACATATTGATTGTGTTTCAGTTAACAAGCACAATACAAGCTACACAACGTGTAGACAACAAGAGACATAAACATGGAAGAGAGGGAAAAAGGAGAGGACTAAAGAATCTAAAGATGGAAATAGAAAGCTATGAATAATAATAACATCATCAAGCATTCTAACAAATTTAATTTATTTCTAAGTTCATGGTTCTTCTTTATTTTTTAAAATGTTTTAATGCATCATTTTGGAAAGTAGACATCAGTGATTGGGAGACCTTTTCCCTTAGAGAGATCATGGGGCACATCATAAATGCCAGATGGAAACGACTAGCCATACTTACTGCATCCCAATCATGTCCAATAATTTTTTCCTCATCAGATCATTTTCCCAACTATTTGGGGTGGATAATGTCCAACAATTTTCCAAGGAATGTTGATGTCCAAGAGGTTTTCCAGATGGCAACTTTGCTTGTTGAGAAGCATCCGGCTAACTTACCTTGGACGAGCAAACGAACGAATCGGAATATTTATAGCAACTATCACCAGGCCGCACTTCAGCAATGTAAATTAAATTCTCATTGGATGGTACTTCCTATAGAACATTAGGTAAACAAAATACAGCTTTATCTTACCTAAAAGGGCTGCATAATATTGTGCAAAATCTACAGATAGGGATGGAACTGTGTTTTTAGGAATAAATAATCAATCACTAAAGAAATCAAAACTAAAAAACAAAGGCGTACAACAGTTAGTGGCGGAGTAAAAGGCCTTGACAAAGACTAGTCAGACACTTCACATACTTTTAAATCTTATGTTTATTATTATATAGTTTCAGTAAGGCAACTGGAAACTGAAAGCAAGGCTCTGAAATAAAGCTGCAATCTTATCCATCATAAAAAAAGCAGATCACAACATTTCATATCCACTATTCAGCAAGGAAGTGCTGGTGAAATTTTAATGGCTTCATTTTTTAATAGATGTTAGTGAGAATGTTCCATTCATTCCAACAAATGCATGGTGTGGATGGGTTACAATCTAATTGCCCCTCTGGTCAATTGATTCGAAGCAAATAAGTTGACTAAAGGAAAAGAACATTGTGAGAAGAGAAGAGCTGTCAAAATAACAATATCCGTTGTTCAATTCAAAATCATTTCCTCCATGTCTTCATCTTTTCAAAGTTCCAATGGCAATTTGTTCCTTGCAGTATACAAGATAGGTACCCAGTATAACTTATGGCATAATCTGTTGTCCAAACTCAAAGGATTCAAGTATAATGAATGTCTATAACACTTAAGATTGATTTTGGGGGTTTTGCAAAGACAGTGGCATCCCATTAAAAGTGAATCACAGAAAATAGACAAGCTAACAGAAAACATGCAGGTTTTGAAGGGTCTGTACCTCATCCATCTTCTTTTCCCGATCCCGTAGAGTAGATTTGGCCTGGATAAATTTCTCATTCCAACTTTCATATAGCTCACTGTTCAAATCCCTATATGCAAGGCAGAGCGTACGCAAACCAGCAGAGCCAAACTGTTCTAAATGCCCCCTTGACACATTCTTTATGGTATCATTACCATAAGCTAATCTCTCATATATGACGGTGTCAGCTCCCTGAAAAGTACACATGATCCTGCAGGTCATCTAGCTTGGCATCCCAAAATTTGCAGATGGACCACATATAAGAAAAGAGGAATACCTTGCAATACAACACAAGCCTTCCATTTGGGTAGCGACAAATGACTGATTGACGCTTCCTCGTACTAATAACAAATGCAATTCAACATTATCAGCACAACAAATGATACAAGAATATATTTTCAATGTTGCATGATAGATGCATACCTGTTAAACTCTAAAACATTGAGAATCTCATAAGAAACATCTTGGATTTTACCAATCTTTTCAACATGTGACTCACGGACCATAATCATAGTTGGGGTACGTCTGGGAAAAATATAAACCACAGGAATATCAGAGAACAGGAAAAGAAAACATAAAACTTCACAATTGAATACAGGTAATAGAAAAGAGTGCATTTAAATCCTACTCAAATTCAAAGAACATGGATATTGAGTTCTTAGATAACATGCTAAAAGCAATATTTGCAACACAGCTGAGTCAGGTTTGGAGTCGACCCAATCTACAAAACCGAACAGAAAATGAAAAATTGGATGATTTACTAACTGAGAGACAGTGGACAGAGTCTTGCTCGAGTCACAAAACTCTGCCGATTCACGAACTAGTTGTAATTTATGGAAAAAGAATATATAAATCCATGTGAAGTCGAAACAACCACAAAAGCTGGTCAAGAAGACCAAATTATAAGGATGGAAATGGCACACGGCCCAACCTGGCTGGCCTGCCTCAGAAAAACTAGGGCCTCTGCCACAAAATAAGGCCCAAGGGCAGGGCCCAGGCTGCCCCAACCCAAGGATCAGGCTGGGCCGGGCCGGGCCAAGATCCACAAGTGACCCAACCCGCCACTATGCTTCCCTTATTTTTATTTATTGTATTTGTCAATCTAAGCAAGGAGCTTCTGTGGAGTTTCCCCAATCTGTCTCATATATGAGCTTCATTTCCCGGTTTTTGTGACCGTTTTGCGCATCTTTTGTACTTTGTACATATGCTTGTAGCCTTTTGTTTCACCACTCTTCTCGGTGGCTTTTTATGCCCTGGGCACAGGTATATTTTGTACTACTTATACTCTTACTCTTACTCTTAATACAAGGTTAACGGTTTAAAAATAAAAATGAATAGGTCATTATCATGGTTTAGCCAATATTTTTCAATCCATAATCCATCACCATAGGTATCCAAGTGTTAGCCCTAAACACTGCTGACAATTAATTCCTTCAAATACTCATTGGTTGGCTAAAGTATACAATGTACTAGAATTTTTGGTTACACAAATTGAGAAATACAGGACCAAGGGATGCTAGAAACAATGTAGGATAAATGAGAAATGAGATAGAGAGCATCACAAATCCAAGATAAATGCATCTGCAACTATTATGGAGTTTCATTTTACTGCACCACTGAAAATGTAACATCTGTATGGCAAACGGGTAAGAGAATCTCTCCATTTTTTTTGTAGGTGCTGAGTGTAGAAGTAATTAACATCAATCTTAGAGACAGAAATTCCAGACTCATGCCACTCAGGAAAAGAAAATAATAATAATTAAGGAGATTGTTAAACTGTAAAATTAGACATCCCTCAGAAAGATAGTACCCAAATATAAGGGAGGAAGATTATACCGGTAAAAAAAGAATCCAAAATTCTTGGCAGCAACAACCAGGGCAGCTTCATCTGGTGATGCAGCTTGATAAGTTATCTTCTCCGGAGATTCGTCACCTTCAGGAAGAACCGTGTGGCATATAGCAAGACACCTAAAGAACTCCTGCTTAACACCAAAAATTTTATATTCAGAACAAATAATCAGATATGAAAACAGACATGAGTTGTACCTAAAGATGTCCTAATCCAAGAAGAAGAAGTAAACAAATGGTGAGAGTACTACTGGAGGAATAAGGCATAAGGTACAAGAGAATATTAGAAAAAAAATGACATGGCAAATAAACTAATTTATCAAACACATAAAAGTAATTTTTAATATCGAAGGATAATGTTTACATACCATATAATGAAGAGTTCTATTTAATTTCCATCAATATGGCATATTTTTACTAGTAGACATTAAAAAAGATGTCGTCCTTTTAGAAGATCAAAGTCACAAGAACTCGTCACTCATCAAGTTAGCAACCACAAAACTTGGTAGTTACAGAATAACAAACAACAAATGCTTTTCACTCAACATATAGTTCAAAATATATAGCCAAGACACTTTCATGTTCAATGACTTACCAACTATCCTTAAGCAAATAAATGAATAAAAAGTAATACTCTACCCTCCACAAAACCTTTATACCAACAAAAAAAAATCTCAAGCATTTACTCCCAAAGAGGATGAGAGCCTGAGGTAGGTCTACAAATGAAACCAAGTAAAGCATATGGAACTAACCTGCATTTGTCTTCAATAGTAATCCCTACATCTATGAAACAAACTGATAGATAGTAATCCCCACATCTATGAACAAACTGATAGATAGTAATCCCCACATCTATGAAGCAAACTGATAGATGTGCATTTGTCTTCAATAGTAATCCCCACATCTATGAAACAAAGTGATAGATGGCATATATGCACCCATATTATGCCAAGAGACAATACATTTAGTTAATGTTGAATTGTTGACTTCCTATGGTTTCAATACGGAAACAAATAAAAATGTTGCACACTATTGCTTCACAAAGGACATTGAATTCTCTCAATCTCACTGTGCAAGCCAAGTCCTTTTCTTGTTTTCCTTCATCCTAGAATATAGCTATATTTCAACCCCCTCCGCCTCATCCCAAGAACATGTGTAAGATTTAAATGCCCTTGGACGGAAGTCTTGTACTAGGGCTGGAAAGCAAGCCCTAAATTAAACGGTAGGATATATTTTTTCTCATATCTGCTTCCAAAGACATCCCTTGTCTCGGTATGCTCATCAATGACTGATCCACATGATAATTGTTTTCCACATTATGGTATGAAAAATGGTTTATACTTTCACAATAGGTGATTCCTTCCGAGAATGGGCTCTCTTGACGTAATGGTGACCAATCAGATCACTTAACTCTTGAATGACATGTATATTCTATCATGACTAGTAATAAGGCTTATTCAAACATTTAGATCTATTTAGAAACCGAAAGGTAGAAGACTATTATGCGATCAGGCTGCATAGATTGTTTTGTTGATTTGGGTCACGTCTCATTTAAGACTCATCCAATGAAATCCCACTTATCACTCACTCATTTTTATATATTTTTATCTATTTATTTTAAAAAATAATTAGTGGTGAACAGTAATTAAATCGAGCTTCTAGAAATAGTCAATGGTCTTATCAATACACAAATGAGAATTTCAATTGTGCTAATATCCATCATATTAGGATGGTATGCAAGCTCTACACAACACCCTTTCATCAACGGATTTATGACATATATGAAGGATTTCATTCGACAAGGTCCCAACTCCATATCTATCTCTTGTCAAAGATGTTTGCATTTTCGAAACTCCATGGACATGCAGAAGAGATGCTATACCCACTCGTGCCAAGACAAATTTTACTAAAAGGAAACTTGACTGTGATATTTTGTTCCAAAAATAATTAAGGTGAAGCCAGGCCAAGAAAAACCACTTTCCGAGTGACAAACAAATCCATTTTGCAAGTCCGTAATATTGTCCATCTCTTTCTGCCATTCTATATCATATGTATTGTAGGTTGCGGTATCTATCATGTTCCCCAATCCCAAATATATCTTGAGCAACCATGAACTAAGATTCATAAACATTTTAATTTTGAAAACAACTATGATTATGATTGATTTTGATAGTTAGTTAATCACTGAAGCTGTAAGAATTAAAACTTGAATAGCACTTGGGAATAATCGAGGACCATGATAGGTACAAGAACGACTGAAGGGACCTTCTTACATTTGTATCTTTTTTAATTTATTTTCAAGTATTTTAATTTTCTCTATTTTCCAACGTAAATCTTTTTCATTTCTAGATATATCTGTATGCATTACATTAAACCAAATTAAAACTGAGTCTTTGTCATTCACGTTGTCGTCTAGTAGGTTTCTATAACATTTTTGCTCGAACAAAGCAAGTTAGAACATACCGCATTATCCAGCCACATTGAGGAAGCAGAAGCAAAGCCCATAGCTGCACATCTTCGGCCAGCCAAGGGAGGCATACATGATGCTCCCTAGGCTATACATCGGCCACATAAGTGGCCGCATTGAGGCGAGCCTATGAGGTAGCATAATTTAGACCTGTTGTAGGCAGTAATACAGCCCACGAGGAGGGGTAAATTTCATTCCTCCAAGAAGGGAAGGGGATGGTTTGGATGGCTATAACCCCCAAAACCCCTAGAATTGATTTTTTGTGGTTCTAAGGGGATTGAATAAAGAATATCAAAACCAAAGTTCTTTTATTTTAATTTTCCCAGAAAAACTTGTACATTTCACAGCAACAGGAGTTTATTTTGTGTGCACAGTGGCAGAAATTTTAGTGCATGATACTGGCGAATTGCTGCCACATCTAAGCTGCCACATGGTGTGTTACGCAGCTGCATTTATTAACTATGGACTGGGTCTAGTTATCTTTTAATTTTTTTTTATCATTATGTTTTGGTTTTGACTTTTTCCACTTTGATTGTACTAATCAATTACTTAGTATTTGGCTATACGCAACACTTGCTGCTTTCTAATTTCTTTTTTTTGATGACTGTTAACATTATATTACTTAAGAGAGTAAAAGTTAACAGGATCTAGAACTGAAAGCACCCTCACAGGGTGACTAACAGTAAAAAATACATTAGTCGTCCATTCTCGGTATAGGCTTATAAGATTCACCCAAGTTACAAGATTTACAAACATAAAAACTGAGTTGTGGCTTGCTTGTATGAAGTCGGGCTATGTAGTACGGCTGTGGTTCTGAACAAAAAAGGAGTTGGACCTGGCGTGGATATCCATATGTGAGCTAGCTCCCTCCTTCGCTAGTAGATCTGAGAGATTGTTGGATGTCTTCCAAGTATGCTGCCATGAGACGCTCGTACCCCTGCAGATATGGGAAATTTCATCAAAGATGGAGGACAGCTACCAAGGTGGAGGGGACAAGCCTCTTGCCCAAGATATGGTGTTCAAGGAATCTCCTTCCACAATCAGTGTTGTGCCCCAGGATGCATTGAGGTTTCTCAAACCCAATAGTAGAGCCATAGCTTCTGCATATTCGAAATCACAGATCCCGAGATGCACCGAAAAGGTGAAGAGGACGTTTCGCTGGCAATCTCTGAAAACACCCCCTGCGCCGGAAGGGCTAGGATTACCTAGAGAGCAGCTATCGAAGTTAAGCTTGACGCTGCCATCTGGTGGTGGTTGCCAATTGTTAGCTCTTAAGGGTTTGGAAGGCCCGTGGTTAAGAACATTTTTCCATTGAGAGAGAAGGGTGTTCCTAGAAAGGCCAGAAAAAGTCTTGTGATTTGAAGCCCAAAAGGTGGTCAGCGAGACAATCTTGTGGAAGAGAGCTAGCGGTAGTCGCTGAGCACCTTTGAAAATTCTGTTATTCCTTTCCAACCATAAAGTCCATATGGTGGCAGCCACAGTAGCCTTACATAATGATTTTCCAGCCAAGGGCCACTAAGAATCAAAGTTGTGACTGATCAAAGCACGGACCGTGGGTGGGGTGATCCATTGGATACCAAAAAGTTGAAGCACATGGGACCAAAGTTTATGGGAAAAGTCACAGAGGATGAAAAGGTGGGGGTTAGATTCCTCCACACAGAGACATAGAGCACATCTGTTGGGTGTAGAGAGGCCTCTTTTTTGTAATTGGTCAACTGCGAGGGCTCTTTGAGAGCAAGCAATCCAACTAAAAAACTGAATCTTTGGTGGGGCGATAGTGGACAACACTTTTGACAGGATAAAGGTGGTCAAATATCTTTGGTGGGGCGATATTGAACAACACTTTTGACAGGCAATTAATAATAGATGCTTGCTTTCTAATTTAATTGCCTGGTAGATTGACATGCCCTATTGTTTTTTAGTAAATTTGATGAATGGATTGAGTGGTTTTATTTTACATGTTGATTCTAGAGAATAGAGATAGGAAATGTCTTCAGTACTCAACAACAACTTAGCATGTATATTAGAGATAAATAATAATTTAATGCATCTACTATCAATTAAATCACATATTTGTATTAATCATTATAAACTTATAAATATCATATTTTTTTGGAATTTTTCATAGTTATTGTCTGAACAGGAAGTGATGTGCCTGCAATGAGGCGCATATCGCATCAAATTCCCCTAGTGCCTCCCACTACATCATGCATTTGGTAAGATTGAATTACAAAATAATAGTTGATGCAATGAATAATGAGTTCACTCATTTTCATAAATGATTGCTATATACTATATTATAAACAAATTTGATTTACTTGTAACAAAGACTGAGGTTTTGTCTAGCTAGCAAGAGGGCCCTTTCCTTCAAAAAGGAAGGAAGCAATGGTTGTCTTACCCCATAAAAGGAAGTGGTTTCATAAAACAATTCTACAGTAATATAATGAAAGAATCTTCAAAAGCTATGTTGTTAATATAATGAAACAATCTTCAAAAGCTATGTTAGGGCCATTTGCTTGACCCCAATTCTTAAATATACACTCTTTTCGATCCAATAGAAATCACAAAAAGGCAAAACTTGAAAATACACTCTAAAAAATGTTTAATTAGACCGATTAATATAGGCCATCCATTTTACCCTAAAAATGACGCCTAGGTGGCAAC